TTAACCTACGGGTAGGGAGTTGGGGGGCTGATTTTATCACTGTCTGCAGGTAACGGAGGAGGCAAGGCCGCGTCGCTAATGGGGGGGGGGGGGGGGGGGGGGGGGGTGGGCTCGCGACGGCCGTGTCGGAGCAGTTTGTCATCGCTGCTGAATTCCCGACTTCAAATACAGGCACCGAACGTCGTGATTTCCGCAGCTCGGCTCCGAGGGATGAACTTCACCGGCCGATTGACCGAGGGGTGAACCGCTCGTCGCAGCTAGGTTTCTCCTTTCTCGGGGCTCGTCGGCAAAGCCGGGTGTTGATTAAACCACGCAGGGATGTTTCGCGAGTCACGACCCTCCCTGCCCCCCCCCCCCCCCCCCCCCTACCTCCCCTGGCGTAGGACGGGCCTGGGGTCCGCACCCGGCCCGTGACTTTAATTCCGCGTGGCCCGTGGCCACCGCGAGGGCCTTCCACTCCGAAGCGGGCCGCACGCAATATCTTATCCGTCGCTGCCAGCGTCGTAGCATCACCAATCGGGTACCGGAGGGGAGCGTTGAAGGACCTGGCAAAAGACCGTGTTCGTAAAATTTCGCTCGGTCGTATCTGTCACCGCAATGGCCTCTTTGCGCTCGGTCAACGCGTGCCTTATAATTCTGCGTTGTCGTTGGATGACACTGAGGTGCGCGTGCGTGCGGTGGTAAGTGTGGTTGCCCGCCAAAGGCGTTTGAAAGTCCTGTTCTACCCTCGCGAGGAAAACGATTCCCCAAGCGTGGAGTAGAGAAAGAGGGCACCTGTCGATAACTGCGCGCGTTCATGAATTCTGAACGATTAATCATTATTTGTTTGCAAGTGAATCGACAAACCTCAGTAAAAGCAATAATCCTGGCAGTTTGTTATATCACAACAACGACGACGATAATAACAATCGCAATAAGAACAATAAATCCCAATTCTTTTGCTCCCAGGAAAATCGCGCACCACCTTTCGATGGCCTCGGAGTGACAAAGCACACCACATTCGTAGTGTCGCGTGTCAGCGCTCCCACAGGCCACCAGCGTCACTGTCACGACCCCCACAGCCCCATCGACGCGGCGTGGCGCGGCGCTAATCAGCTGTGCGGTGCGCTTGCTCCCAGTTGGAGGAAGGGCGTGAAGGGGGGAGTTTGGTTATTCAGAAAATTATGTTTATTTTCGGTATTTTTAGAAACTTGCTTCCTTTCAGGGTTTCAATTTGCACCTTGGGTTCATTTTGTGTTTGTGAGTTGAGAACTTGTCACTTCCATTACGTGGGGAAATCTGGAGAGAATCAACATCGCGAGAGACGGCGTACACGCACACACACATACCAGGTTTAAAATGACAGTCTTTTTGGGAAGCACGTGTGTGTGGGTGTACGTGGGGAGAGCTGTTGTAGTGTAGCGGTTAGCACGCTGCGCTACAAACCCGGCGACGCGAGTTTGATTCCCGCCCAAGGCCACCAACACCAGTGAAAATTATCTGAACCGGTCCTGGGACTCCCCTAGGTTGACTCAGCCTCAAATGAGTACCTAAAGTGGTGTGTAAACATCAGCACAGGGGAGATAAAGGTGGCCGAGTGTGGTGCTGGCCACCCCCCACCCCCTTGTGTATTGTGCTGGCCTTCATAGGTGCTCACTTACAGCTCCTGCCTCAACAGCCTGTTAAGGCTATACGGGGGATCTGTGTCGTTTGTGGATGTCCGGAAGGTGTAGAGGATGAATGGCTTTTAACTCACTGTGAACCGGGTTCAATTCTTGGACATGGATGGCGCGATATTAAACCTAAAGCTATTGTTATCATCATCGTGGTCATCATCGCAATGTACAAGGCGATCGATATTTACATGCTTCACAGATTTGTAACGGCCCTCTTTGTATGCATGTATGTTAAACTTCTTTCGCACCGTGCATAGCCAACCGTGCTTATCGGAGCCAACCTATTTGCTGCGAAGGTGATGCCTTGCGGAGGAGGAAAGTGTTTGAGAGATTTCATACGAGCGTTCAGATTGGTGGGAGACCGTCTAGAGGAGTTCATGAATGTGTAGATGTCTCTGTAATTGGTCCAAATTATTTGAGTGGGTTATTATCGCCAACAAACGCCACATTCATGGACCAGAGGGGCAAGAGTACGTGGCTCATAGGCTGCAGCAGCGGTGCCGGTACATCGTGTGGGACATGGCCTCATGGCACAGGGGTCATAGTGCCCAGGCCAACACCGCTTAGAATCCTGGGTTCGAACACAGGTCTCAGCCACTGCCTGTGATGCGACTGGGTTCCCGAGTGTAGTGAGTTGACGGTCTTCCAGTAACCACTCTAGGCTATATTGCATCTCTGAGAATTAACATATCTGGAACGCTCTTCCTTCCGTTATTTTGAAGCTATTGGAGTTGTGCGCTTTCAAATGTAGATTGAAAACTCACGTTTTTTAGACCTGCTTTTGTTGTATTTAGTTTGTTGTCCTTCCCCCGCACCTCCGATTAGCACGGTTGGCTACGTACGGTGCGACAGAAGCTCTGCATGCATACATATTCATTTTGTGAATGTCACCAAGGCAATCATTACTCTCTGCGGTCAGGAGGGTAGGAAAAGTGCCGCCCCCCAGAGGCGACTTGAAGGGATGTCGGAGGTAGCTCTGCAGCATCCACTTCCGCAGGAAGAGTCCGCGCTGCTGTGCGAGTGATCCAAACGGATCCTGCCGTCCCGTGGCCACGTGACGCTACCAAACGAACGATCGGGTCAACGTCTGGGGTGGGGTTGGGGGGGGGGGAAGAGACCAAAAACAAAATCAGCAAAAGCCCCAGTGCGTCGTGCACTGCAGCAAGGGGCGCGAAGCGTGCACAGACACGCACGCCGAGAGAATGCTGAGCGAGTGCCTCCCACCCCCTTCAACTGCGTGCAAGGCAGCGTGCAGGCAGCATGCAGGCTTTAACAAAAAAAAAAGCACCTGCAGAGGCGCCTGAACAGAATTTGTAAACGGCACCCGGGCCTAGGAACTGCAACGGTCAAATGAACGAGGTAAACACTCGTCGTCCGCACCCATGACTCACGGCGGTGCGCGCCTTCCGCTTTAAAAGTAGGGCATGTCATCATCAGTCCTTCTGGCCAGGATGCAGCGCAGTGGGCGGATAGCAGCGGGGCCTGCCAGTTGCGAACGTGCGAGCTCGCATCCCAGCCGGGGTCAACTCTGCACTTTCATCGTCATGATCATCCCCAGGACATGACCATTGCCGTCGTTATCTTTGTCATCGTCATCATCATCATTATCCCTCCAATTTAACACGGAGGCTCCCCTGGGCAGTTAGTGAAATTGGCACTGTCCGGAAAAGCTGCCTTCTTTGTTGGCGAGTTTAAAAGTGATCGTTGTGTTGAGAGACATACGTGGTCTCTGCCATGGGAACGTGGACATTCCACGACAGAATCAGGACCGACATCGAGCATGACCCCACCACACAGTGCTCGTTTGAATGTGGGAGCACTATTTTCTTTTTTACACTGCCAGGGTACTTGGGGTTCTCATTATCCGCTGCTAGATGAAGACCCCGCTGGCCAGGGTTTCCGGCACGGTTCACGCTGCACCCCTCAGGCCGATGCCTCCCTCGGCTGTCGTAACTTCGCTCGTCTTGTCCGTCAGCGAACGAGTAAATTCTTTCACTCAATTTATCTTACCAGGTAAGGACCAAACTGAGCTATGCGGCTCTTTTTTCAGAAGCAACTGGGCCATCACAAATGATAGGCCAACTTTGTTGTTGTTGGCCTATCGTTTGTGATAGCCCCATTAGGCCTATCGTGTAGAATTGTTTAGCAGCCAAATGTTCTAAATGCGTGATGTCGATTCTAAATGTGGAGGGAAAAACCGGAGGACCCGGAGAAAAATCAATGCGACCAGGTGAATAGAGACATGCAAACTCCAAATATACAGCAGGTGTCAGAGTCAGGGTCAAACCCACTACCTCATGTATACCATGCGAGGTAGTTAACATCTCCTAGCCACCGTGATGGTGATGATGAGAGAGAGAGATATACCGCCAACTCCAAATATACAGCAGGAGTCATGGTCGGGATGGAACCCACGACCTCCTGTATACTCGGCGAGGTAGTTAACATCTCCTAGCCACCGTGGCGCCCCACCGGACGTATGTTCTCTGCTCGTGACCCCCCGTCGCAACAAATGCACGTGTTTTTCATCGTTGTGCAACGTCTCGGATTCCCACTCTGGAGGATGAACCTTCACACACTCCGCGTTCCCGCCCTTCCTTCCAGGGCTTTCATCGTTTTTGTCTTTTTAAAAGAATGCGGGCGGGCGTGCGTAAGCGCTTGCATGCGCGCGGACGGACGCGCGTACGGGCGCGCGGATGGGCGCGCGTGTGCGCCACTGCCCTTCGGACTTGTTGCATGCTCCGAATCGGCTTTCTCTCTTCGTCTGATGTGTATTTGTTTTAACGCGACGCCCGGGTGTGCGATGGGGCATGACCGCTGAAGAATTCGTTGTACAAAAATCTATTTTCGAGTGAATGAATGAGGCTTACAGTGGCGGGGGGGGGATGCGTGTTGTTTTAAATGTGCGTTCGTCCTGTATGTTGATAGACAATTGCCGCAACTGCGTGTGGGTTGGCGGTTTGGAAAAAACGGTATGCTGTACGCGTGCACGCGTGGGCACATACGTGCGTGTGTGTGTGTGTGTCGGGAGTGGTAGTGCAGTGATTTGCGCAGCGCATTACGAAACTGCACCCCTGAGTTCGATTCGCAGCCGTGGCAAACGTCCGTGGCTAATGGTATCCGAACTTTCCCTGGGGCCTCTCCTCAATTGACTAGGCTTCAAACTAGCACTTGACGCGGTGTATACATTTCAGTGCCTGGGGAGACGAAGGTGGTCGGGCTTGGCAGCTGGCCGGCACTACCACGTCATCTTAACGGGTGCTCGCAAACAGCTCTTCGCCCTGACGATTCACAAGTCTAAACGGGATGCGAAACCTTTCTTGTTTGCTGTCTCCGCGCACGCAGTGGAGGTGAGCCAGTCCCTGTCCACGCAACCCAACCTCGGTCTCCGCGCCCTCTCCTCCATGCCGGGCGTCGGGGGGGTCCTCGCCTCCGCGGGGGGCAGCAGCGGCGAAACCGGGATGGGCGGCGGCGGTAGCGGTGCCATCGTCATCATCGGTGCCGAGCTGCCCTCCTCGGCGGCATCTTCGCCACCCCAGCAGCAGCAGCAGCAGCAGGCGCAGCCCGCGACCCCGGGTGGCCTCCCGCACGAGCAGGACCTGCAGCACGAGCTGCAGGCGCTCAAGCAGCAGCAGCAGATCCAGAAGCAGCTGCTGCTCGCCGAGTTCCACAAGCAGCAGGAGCAACTCGCGCGGCAGCACGAGGCGCAGCTGCAGGAGCACATCAAGGTGGGCGCCAGGGTGAGAGTGCCTCTGCCCCCCCCTCCCCACCCGCCCGCCCGTCCGGCCCCCCCACCCCTCGCTCAGAATCTTGATTCATTCTGGAGAAATCCGATGAGCTACAAAGCTCTTTTTCACAGATGTCCAGTAGGGGCCCGTGCTGAACTTCCTCACACAGGCGTCCCCTTTTTTTTTCAGCAGGTTTCACCCCGAAAATTATTTATCTTTTTATTTTACCGTAAGGTCCCACTAAAGCTCTGTAGATATTTTTCAGAAGCGACCTGGCCAGTACAAATGACAGCTCAACAAAGTGTGGAAATTTATAGCAGTAGGCCAAATACTCTGAACGTGCGATGTCGATTCTAAAAGTGGAGGGAAAAAGCAGAAGACCCGGAGAAAGATCCGAGTGACCATGGGGAGAGAGACGCGTAGACTTCAAATTTCCAGCAGGCGTCAGGGTCCGAATCTAACCCTTGACCTCCTGCTACATAGCAGGCGTGATGGTTAACATTTCGCCACCGTGGCATCCCTGCTTCATCCACCCATCCCTCTTAGCTGTGTCACTGCCCGCCACTCCCCGGCTAATGTCGCGTTGCCACGCGCTCTGGCAGGGGGTGCGGAGCCAGCCCAAAATTGACTCCTGGAACGGCCCAGGGCCCAGTGAACACGGACCGCCGGTCAGGTGTCAGTGTGTAAATACGCTTGGGTGAAGGTTGGAACGTGCGTGCCACACGCTAACAAGAGTGGAACCCTGAGCAGGCTTCTCCTGGAACACTCTGCCCAGCTGCTGCTGGTCTCGCTGCCGTGGGAAAACTTAAGAGGGGAGACACGGCGCAGGCTCCGTGCATGCCCTGGTCCTAGCCCCCTTCCCGAGAGCACGGCACTCGAGAGATTTGCAGCTTTTGTTCGGTCCGTCTCCTTCGCTGACGCGTGCGTGCGTGTGTGTGTGTGTTTGTGTGTGCGCTTGCGTGTGTACGCGCGTACGTGCGCCCGTGTTCGTCCCCTCCCCTCTCCCACCTCATCCCCCCCGCTCCTCCCCCGGTCCCTCGCAGCAGCAGCAGCAGATGATGGCGCTGAAGCGGCAGAGGGAGATGCTGGAGGCTCAGCGGAAGATGGAGGCGGCGCGTGAGGCCGAGCTGCAGGAGAAGCAGCGGCGTGAGCAGCACCTGCAAGCGCTCAAGTACAAGGAGAAGGGCAAAGAGAGTGAGTGTGAGCGACGGGACGGCTCGCCACGGCCGCGTTGCCGTGGTAACGGCAGTGCGGAGCTCCGAGTGAGCACCTTGAGATCCGGACTGCGCTGTGAACCTGGCAACCTGGGTTAGATTCCCGGTGACGGCTAACATTGGTGGCGAGTGATACCTGAATCGGTTCTGAGCCTTTCCATCGTTCAATTTGGCCTTAAATCAAGTACCTGTTGTTGTGGTGTGTAAACATCAGTGCTGTTTGTATGTATGTTGAACGTCTTTCGCGCCTTACGTAGCCAACTGCGATAATCGAAGGTACGGGGGAAGGATAACAAACTAACACACACACCAAGCATTTCTAAAGAAATGAGTTTTCAATCTAGATTTAAAAGTGCATAGCTCCAGTGGCTTACTAATAGTGGCTGCAAGTGGCTTCTGTGGAGACAAAGGCGATCGGGTGTGGTGCTGGCCACCCACCCCCTCGTGTGCCGTGCCAGCCTTCATAGGTGCTACTCTCTAACGGCACTTGCTCCTACAGTCTGTTAAGGTTACACGGGGGATCTCTATCTTTGTGTCGCATCTCAGGCGCCGTCGCGAGCTCGGAGGTGAAACAGCGCCTGCAGGAGTTTGTGCTCAACAAGCGGCAGCGCGGCCCCACCATCACCCCCAGCACGGGCGCCATCAACCACACGCTGCCGCACAACCAGCGCCTGTGGCTCGCGTGAGTTTGTGTGTGTGCGCGTGTGTCTGTATGTGTGGTGCGACAGTGCAGCGGTTAACGTGGCCACCACAACACCAGTGACGTTTATTTGAACTGGTCCTCGGCGACTCGGCCTCAAATTATTTACCTGGTGCGTTGCGTGAAGTTATCGCCACTGGGGAGACAAAGGGGGTCGGGCGCGATGCTGGCCACCCACCCCCTCATCTGCCGTTCCGGCCTTCAAAGGTGCTCGCTAAGAGCACTTGCCCCAACAGTCTGTTCAAGCTGTACGGGGGATCTTTGTCATTGTTTGTTTGGGGGGGGGGGGGTCTGTGTGTGTGTACGTGGAGGTGTGTAATAATAATAATTTACAGCTCTTTGTCAAAACATTGTCAGATGGGACTCCCCAAACATTGGAGCTTGTTTGATCATACTTCACCGCGCACCGCCGCTGACTCGCCGCGTTGCTCTCGCGCCCCTGCCCCCCCCCCGCATGTCTTTTGCCGACAGCGTGGCACAGCACGGCTCTTTTGAGAACAGCTCACGGCCGGGCGGCGTCACCCAGCTGTGCCAGCACCCCGACATCGGCAACTACGAGTCCAAGGACGACTTCCCGCTGAGAAAAACCGGTGAGACCCGGCGACCGGCCCACAGCGGCGGCAACACTTCGGAAGCCATGTCGGCCGTGGGCCGAAGCATTAAAATTGAGACCTTCCTTTGGTCAGTTTTTGGCTCAAGGACGACGCTGTTGGTTGTTAATACTTAGCAACTGCTGGACTTCCAATCGAGAGGTTGCACGATCGATCGTTCAGCAATGTGGTTGGAACAACGGCGGGGCAAGTTTTTTTAAATTCCCCTCCGGCGCCCCCGCCTCTCTCTGCCCAACAGTATAAATGGGTACTCCACTACAGTCAGTTGATGGGTCAGGTGAGGTCAAGTGTGGATAACTCCCATTTCTCCACAAATGTAAGTCCTTCATCGAGAGAGTAGGCCAGTATCCTCGAGAAAGAGAGAGGGGGGCTGTCCAGAGTCCCTTCCGCCAGCAGTGGCTTAAGTAAATAACTTCTGGACTGCACTTTCATTGAAAGAGAAACACGTTTACGGGTGCACCGCACTCACGATTCTGTGTGGTCCACACTCGTGCCATCTCTTGGGTTTCATAATTTATTTTTATTTCGGTTCAAAACTTGCTGACGTCTTCCCCCCCCCCCCACCCCGCTAACGACACAGCACGACGCCAAGGCGACGCCGTTTCGTCAATAAATACATCTGGAGCTGCGTGCTCCTTGCTCGCAAATAAACATTTATTTTTATCTTATTTTTCTTCTACCCCCTACGCTGCTGTTCTCGCTCCCACGTGTGTGTCAGCGCTCGCTCTGCCGCCCGCCAGAGAGCCGCTAGTCTTCCCGGGCGCCCCACCTGTGCCCCCACCCCCGGTCAGCTGTCCACGCCCACGTTTAGACAACGCGCCTGGGACAGGAAGTCAGACGTTTCGAAATAGTTACGTGTGCCGAATAGACGGCCCTGCTCCGGCCCTGCCCTGGCCCTGCGCCGGCCCTGCCCACACCTACACACGTAGCCATGTGGCCCACAGTGCTCGGGCATGTGTGGGTGGGTGGTTAGTCTGGCCCAGTGACCCGAGTTCGATAGCTAGTCTTGCACGTGGTGGATATACTTCCGCTGCTCGTAAATAATGATATGGCACCCATAACGCCATCGGGAGTCCAGGCAGAGCAGCAAATCTTCGGTTTCAACTAAATGAAACAGGCAGTCAGCGGAGATGTCCCCGGACTATCGGGACCTGGGTTCGCATCGAGCCTCACGCATCGCTCTCTCATGTGTTGTTGGTGTGCCCCCCCCCTGCCCCGCCCTGCCCCCCCTCCCACCCCCCCCCCCCCCCCCCCCCCCCCCCCCCCCCCGCGATGGTGCGCAGCGTCCGAGCCGAACCTCAAGCTGCGCTGCCGACTCAAGCAGAAGGTGGCGGAGAGGCGGAGTAGCCCCCTGCTGCGGCGCAAGGACGGCACCGTCGTCACCACACTCAAGAAGAGGCCCATGGACGTCACAGGTGCGCGCCAGTGTGTGTGTGTGTGCGTGTGTTAAAGTCCACATCGCCTGGCACGTGCCGTGGTGATGTCACCGCCACCTAGTGGCGAATGGCGGGTGTTGTGTTTGCGCGTGTGTGCGCGTATGTGTCTGTGTGTGCGTTTGCGTGTGTGTATGTGCGAGTGTGCATGGGTGTCTCAGTGACGATTATCTGAACCGGTCCTGGGCCTCCCCTAGGTTGACTTAGCCTCAAATGAGTACCTGGTGCGGTGCGTAAAAACATCGGCACTAGGGAGACAAAGGCGGCCGGGCGTGATGCTGGCCACCCCCTCGTGTGCCGTTCTGGCCTTCATCGGTACTCGATAACAGCACTTGCCCCAACTGTCTGTTAAGGCTATACGGGAAATCTTTGTATTTTGTGTGTGCGGGTGGGTAAACGGTAGTGCGGTTGTTAGCACGTAGATTCCCGCTCACAGTCAACAGCAGTGACTGTTATATGGACCAGTCCTCGGCCTCCCCTAGGTCGACTCAGTCTCAAATGAGTATCGAGAGCGATGTGTAAACATCGCAACTAGGTAGACATAGGCGGCCTTCATAGGTGCTCGCGAACAGCACTTAAACATGTTGACTCAGCCTTAACACGAGTGTCTGGTGCAGTGTATCCAGTGCACATCAGCAATGGGGAAACAAAGGCCGGCTGGCCATGATTCTCGTCACACCACCCCATCGAGCGCCTTGCTGGCCTTAGCAGTTGCCAGAAAACAGCACTCGCCCCCAACAGTCTGCATGTCTATATGGGGGACCTTTGTCTTTGTGCGTGTGCGTGCAGGCCCCACGGTGTGCAACAGTGCGCCGGGCTCAGGGCCCAGCTCCCCCAACAACAGCTCCAACAACATCACGAACGAGAACGGCACCATGGGCTCCATCCCCAACATGCATGCCGAGGTAGCGGCCCTGCCCCGGCCCTGCCCCGGCCCTGCCCTGGCCCTTCCCTGGCCCTGCCCATACCTACACATGTAGCCATGTGGCCCACCATGTGCGGGCATGTGTGGGTGGTTAGTCCGGCCCAGTGACCCGAGTTCGATTCGCTGCTATAGCTAACGTCATTTGTGTGAGATATCTGAACCAGTCCTGGGCCTCTTCTAGGATGTTGTGGCTTGTAACCGTTGCCACTGGGGAGACAAAGGCGGCTGGGCATAGTGCTGGCCACAAACCACCCCGTTTTGTGTCGTTCCAGCCATCATGGCCGCTCGTTTTCCCCAACAGTCTTGAAAAGCTTTACAGGGGATCTTTGTGTGCTGTGCGCAGGGTATCCACAGTGGTGTGTTATCGTCACCTGATGAGTAACACACGAATTAATGTTAACGACACGTAACAAACTGAGACGGGATACACATTTCTAAATGTGTTGATATTTAAATGGAAGACCGTGACGCGTAACCCTCGCAAGGTTCGCCCTAACGCAGAACGCTCGCTTTTAGCCGCTGCTCGTGCACAGGGTCAGGGAGGGTGCGTGTCGCCACCACTCTCGCGGCAATGCGAAAATCCTGCGCAGCACCGTTTACCACCGCCATTTCTCTGCCAGTACAATTCCTGTCGAGACCTCGGTGATGGTGACAGCTTGGGGAGAGGCCTCTCGTTTTCCAGAGGGAGGATAACCACTGTTGCTACTTTAATGTATCAGTCCTTGAGGCCTGCAATTCCGAGTTGATCTCTGGCCAGGATTTGAACTCGGAACCGTCTAACTTGCGAGACGAGTGCTCTCCTGACCTCATCGGACCACCAGATGGGATCCGAATTGTCACCGATGGTTTATTTGTCGTTACCTTCCTCTTGTCATTGACTCTCCCTCTCTCCTTGCTCTCTCTCTCTCAAGAGCCGAATGGCTCACAGGGCTATACCAAATAAATGAAACTATGAAACTAAACTCTCTCTCTCTCCGTCCCTCCCTCCCGTCTCCGTATCTCTGCGCCACCAGCACCCGATGCTGTCTCCTGAGCGGCTGCTGACGCGCGATGGCAGCACCCTCACTCAGATCAACCTCTACACGTCGCCCTCGCTGCCCAACATCTCGCTGGGGCTACCCGCGACGGGCGCCGCCACTCCGCACGTGGGTGCCGCACCCGCTTACGCACGCGCACGCACAAGAGAGGTACAGGTGCAGCCCTGCGTTTGCCTGCTCATGCCATCGCTGGTGGATGGGCCAGACCCCCCTCCCCCTTCTAAAGGATATTTGGTCGACTCGTGCACACTGCACACTGGCCAGGCTGATGTTAGCCGTGGCGATGAATTGAACTCGGCTTTGCCAGGTTTGTAGCACAATGCGCAAACCTCTGCACCACCGCCACTGTCCGCAATAAAACACGCGCACATGCACGTGCGTAGACCCCCACTGCTCCCCACAAACACACGGTGCGAATGCTCTGCCCCCCCCCCCCCCCCCACTTCAGAGGAACTCAGATTTCCACCACAGTGTGGGAGGCTTGCAATCCCCTCCTTCCCTCCCTTTTACTCGGGTAACTGCCGCCTAATAGACGACCGTAACGTTGTGAAAGTTATTTTTGTGGAATAAATGTACGTGAGCAGCTTGAAGCTGCGCGGTGTGCGTGCCACGACGTGAATGCAGATCACTCGGAGCGGAGTGGGGCAGCGGTGGAGAGAGCGAATCGCAGTATGGGTACATGTGTGTGTGTGTGCCTTGTGTGTGTGCGCGATCGCATGTGTGTCTGTATTTGTGTACGTGTGTGTGTCTGGGTTGACTCATCCTCCAAATGAGTTACATGGTGCCGTGTGTAAACATGGGCAGACAAAGGCGGTGAGGTGTAGTGCTGACCACCCACCCCCTTGTGTACCGTCCAGACTTTTATAGGTGCTCGCTTATAGCACTTGCTCCAATAGCATGTTAAGGCTATACGGTGGATTTGTGTCTTTGTTATCTGTGGGTGAATGGGGAGCGGTAGATTAGTGGTTAGTGCGTTACGCTACAAACCCGGCGACCCGAGTTCGATTCCTGCTCATGGCCAACACCAGTGACGATTATCCAAACCGGTTCTGGGTCTCTCCTAGGTCGACACAGTCTCAACTGAATAACTGGTGTGGGGCGGGGTGCTGTCCACATCACCACCTTGTGTGCCATGCCGACCTTCATAGGTGCTCAATGGCAGGACTCGCCCGTACTGCCTGTGTGTGTGTGTGTGGTTCTCCTTTTACAACGTCTCCTCCTCTCTCTCACCCCCATCTCTCCCCCCCTCCTCACTCCGCTGCTGCTGACGCGATTGTCTGGCTTGACCGCCTGAATGTGAAATTGTAGTCGTTGCTCAGCGTCTACAGCAGCCGTTCGAAAAGAAGAATTCGACTCTCCTGCATTCATCCGTCTTCCTCTCTCTTCACTCGCCTACCTACTCACCTCCCTACTCATCTACATACTTACCTACCCCCCCATCTCCCTCTTTCCTGCGCCTGCGATCGCTCGACCGCGAACCCCTTTAACCCCCTTAAGGGGGTGCTGCACCACAGTGGCGGGATGTTATCTCCCTCACCTGGTATGCAGGAGGGTCGTGGGTTCCATCGCGACCAACACGCCTGCTGTATGTTTGCAAATTGCATGTTCTCCCCGTGGTTGCGTGGATTTTTCCCCGGGTCTTCCGTTTTTTTCCCTACACATTTAGAATCATGCCTTTAGGGTATTTGGCTGCTATAAATTTCCGCACGATGAAAAGCCACTCCGTTGAGCTATCATTTGTGATGGCCAGGTCACTTCTGAAAAAGAGCTACACATCTCAGTGGGGCCTTGCCTGGTAAGACTAAAATTAGTGTTTTTTTTAGCTTAATCCTCGACCCCAACTCTCTGACCCTGGCAGATGGCGGGGAGCCTGGCGGCGCAGCACGAGGCGGAGCGGCACGCCGTACTGGGCATGCGCGGTGGCGCCGCCGGCGCTCAGTTCGTGGGCAGCGTCCCCTTCCTGCCACGCCACGATGGCAACGCGGGCGCCGCCACCCTGCAGCAGCAGATCCTCCTGCTGGAGCAGGCGCGCCTCGCCGGTCCGTAGCGCGCACACGCACGCACGCGCACACACACAGGTCAAGTGCCACCACCTGTACCGCGCACACACACACCAAGCGCCACCACCTGTACCGTGCACAAACACATAAACCAAGCACCACCACCTGTACTGCACACACACACACCAAGCGCCACCACCTGTACCGCATACACACACACAAACCAAGCGCCACCACCTGTACTGCACACACACACACCAAGCGCCACCACATGTACCGCATACACACACACAAACCAAGCGCCACCACCTGTACTGCACACACACACACCAAGCGCCACCACCTGTACCGCATACACACACACAAACCAAGCGCCACCACCTGTACCGTGCATAAACACACAAACCAAGCGCCACCACCTGTACCGCACACACACACCATCTGTCAGTCTGGCTGTCGATCTGATTGTCCATTCGACTGCCTATCCGTCCATACATCTGTGTCTGTCCACTTGTGCAGTGAGGGAAAAAAAGTATTTGATCCCCTGCTGATTTTGTACATTTGCCCACTGACAAAGAAATGATCAGTCTATCATATTAATGGTAGGTTTATTTCAACAGAGACAGAATAAAAAAAAATCCAGAAAAACGCATGTCAAAAATGTTATAAATTAATTTGCATTTTAATGAAGGAAATAAGTATTTGACCCCCTCTCAATCAGAAAAATTTATTGCTCCCAGGTGTCTTTTATACAGGTAACGAGCTAAGATTAGGAGCACTCTTAAAGGGAGTGCTCCTAATCTCAGCTTGTTACCTGTATAAAAGACACCTGTCCACAGAAGCAATCAATAAATCAGATTCCAAACTCTCCACCATGGCCAAGACCAAAGAGCTCTCCAAGGGTGTCAGGGACAAGATTGTAGACCTACACAAGGCTGGAATGGGCTACAAGACCATTGCCAAGCAGCTTGGTGAGAAGGTGACAACAGTTGGTGCGTTTATTCGCAAATGGAAGAAACACAAAAGAACTGTCAATCTCCCTCGGCCTGGGGCTCCATGCAAGATCTCACCTCGTGGAGTTGCAATAATCATGAGAACGGTGAGGAATCAGCCCAGAACTACACGGGAGGATCTTGTCAATGATCTCAAGGCAGCTGGGACCATAGTCACCAAGAAAACAATTGGTAACACACTACGCCATGAAGGACTGAAATCCTGCAGCGCCCGCGAGGTCCCCCTGCTCAAGAAAGCACATATACATGCCTGTCTGAAGTTTACCAATGAACATCTGAATGATTCAGAGGACAACTGGGTGAAAGTGCTGTGGTCAGATGAGACCAAAATGGAGCTCTTTGGCATCAACTCAACTCCCCGTGTTTGGAGGAGGAGGAATGCTGCCTATGACCCCAAGAACACCATCCCCACCGTCAAACATGGAGGTGGAAACATTATGCTTTGGGGGTGTTTTTCTGCTAAGGGGACAGGACAACTTCACCGCATCAAAGGGACGATGGACGGGGCCATGTACCGTCAAATCTTGGGTGAGAACCTCCTTCCCTCAGCCAGAGCATTGAAAATGGGTCGTGGATGGGTATTCCAGCATGACAATGACCCAAAACACACGGCCAAGGCAACAAAGGAGTGGCTCAAGAAGAAGCACATTAAGGTCCTGGAGTGGCCTAGCCAGTCTCCAGACCTTAATCCCATCGAAAATCTGTGGAGGGAGCTGAAGGTTCGAGTTGCCAAACGTCAGCCTCGAAACCTTAATGACTTGGAGAAGATCTGCAAAGAGGAGTGAGACAAAATCACTCCTGAGATGTGTGCAAACCTGGTGGCCAACTACAAGAAACGTCTGACCTCTGTGATTGCCAACAAGGGTTTTGCCACCAAGTACTAAGTCATGTTTTGCAGAGGGGTCAAATACTTATTTCCCACATTAAAATGCAAATCAATTTATAACATTTTTGACATGCGTTTTTCTGGATTTTGTTGTTGTTATTCTGTCTCTCACTGTTCAAATAAACCTACCATTAAAATTATAGACTGATCATTTCTTTGTCAGTGGGCAAACGTACAAAATCAGCAGGGGATCAAATACTTTTTTCCCTCACTGTATGTCTTCCCATTCGACTCTTCATCCCGCCATTATCTTTACCCATCTGTCTCCCTCCCTGTCCGTCCACCTACCCGTTTGTCCGTTGGCCCATCTCTTCTCTCACGCCGCGTGCCGTCTATCCGTCGTCTCGCTCCGCCCGCCCGCCGTCTGTCCGCGCGCCCGTCCGTGATCCCCGTCTCTTGTGCCCGCTCCACCGCAGGTCTCGGCGGCGTGACGCCCCACCCGCAGTCGCCGCTGGCGCTGGGCGGCTCGCCCACGCTGCGCCGCACGCCGGCCAAGATGGGGCGGCACCAGCCGCTGGGGCGCACGCAGTCGGCGCCGCTGCCGCAGAGCCCCCAGGCCCTGCAGCAGCTCGTGCTGCAGCAGCAGCACAAGCAGTTCCAGGAGAAGCAGAAGCAGCTGCACCTCAACCAGGTGGGCGGAGAGAGAGAGCCAGCCAGCGACGGCACTCGACCTGTGGCTCCCCCCCCCCCCTCCCTGTGGCTCTCCCCATCGCCCAGCCCTATGGCCCCTCCCATGGCTCCCTCCCGTGGCTCCCCCCATAGTCCCATCCCCCATAGTGACCCCGTAGTCAAACCCACGTGACCCCGCAGTCAAACTCACGTGACCCCATTGCCAAAGCCATGTGACCCCGTCCCGGCCAATGACAGCGCTGCTGCGCGTAGGCCTGCCACTGTAGTGAGATGTTATCTCCTTCACCTGATATGCAGGAGGTCGTGGGTTCAATTCCGACCCTGACACCTGTTGGCTATTTAGAATTTGCATGTCCCTCTGACCGTGGTCGCGTGGATTTTTCTCCGGGTTCTCCGGTTTTTCCCTCCACATTTAGAATCAACATCACACGTTTAGAGTATTTGGCTGCTATAAATTTCTACGTGACGATAAGCACTTTGTTGAGCTACCATTTGTGATGGCCAGGTCGCTTCTGAAAAAGAGCTACATAGCTCAGCGGGGCCTTACGCCTGGTAAAATAAAAAAAAAATGTTATTAGTTGAAATACTCTTTGATTCTTTCTGTAAAGTCACGTAGGTAGAAAAAATATTGGATCACGACGTTTCGATCGCAACGCAAGCAATCGCCTGATGACGACGATTGCTTGCGTTGCGATCGAAACGTCGCGATCTATTATTATTTTTCTACCTACGTGACTTTACCGAAAGAACCAAAGAGTGTGGATTCCCGCAGTCACGAAAGCTCCAAATCAAGAACAGTTGAAATAGTTGAGGTCACGCGCCGCTGCATTCGATCTCACCGCGCCCACCGCCCGCGCGGCTCCACTGCCCCCGTCGCAGCTGCTGCTGTCGAAGGCGGGCGAGCCGGTGCGCCAGCACGAGGCGCACCCCGAGGAGACGGAGGAGGAGCTGCGCGAGCAGCAGGCCATGATGCAGGAGGAGGAGGGGGCGGCCGTCGCCGACGAGGTCCGCGTCAAGCGGGAGCCCGCGGACAGCGACGACGACGACGAGGACGAGGACGAGGACGACGAGGTGCGCGAGGGCTCGCCCCTCGGCGGGGGAGACGGCGCTACCGCCGCCGGGGGGTTCGGCGAGCAGCAGCAGCAGCAGCAGCAGCAGCGGCGGCAGGAGCAGCAGCGGCAGTTCCACGCGGCACTCTTGCAGCAGGTGTGTGCGAGTGCGTTTGAATGGTATCGGCGGTGTCAAGATTGGCCTCTGTGGAGGAGGCTCGTGAAGGACGTTGCTGCTGATGCAGTCGCCCTCCCAACAACATTGGAGGGCAGAAAAGCGACGCTCGCATCAACGAGTTGAGCGTCGAGCGGCTAAAACGCAGCGAGGTGGCGCAGTGGTGGGTACAGGTGGTGCATCTTGCCAGTCATCTCATTCAGTCAACCCATGGCACCTGGGTCTATCCCGTGACCTCCTGCCAGCGGGCGTTCGACGCTTCATGTGGCCTTAGTGCACTTAGGCTGGCACAAGCGGTACCATGCATCTCCATGGGCTCGATCTTGGAGGAGTTAAGATCACCTGGTCTCTTCTCACCCAGCTGAACCTCAGACACTTAGCTTCGGCCTATTTATCAAGCAGTGAAAAGATCATGACCTGGTGTGTGTGTGTATATGTTGAACTTCTTCCACGTGACCCCGCAGTCAAACCTACGTGACCCCGTCCCAACTAATGACAGCGGTGCTCCGCGTAGGCTTGGGTTTCCCCGAGCGGCGGTCCGTGGGCCCCCCGCCGGCTCCGCGGCGCCGCGCGCGATCTCACCCTGAAGCAGTGGTGATGACGTATGGGACGTGTGAGAGATATTACAGATGTGACTTTTATATCGGATCACGATGCAAAATCGTGACGAAGAAATCGCTGGCAGGACTGCGACTCCCGCGCCGTGCGGCCGCCGACACTTATTCCCACGTACTCTTCCCCCCGCCCACCCCCTCTCCCCGGGGCCACCCCGCCCCCCCCGCAGCACGCCGCCCTCATCGGCCTGCCCCCCCCGCACCCGCAGCAGTCGCTGGTGCTGGAGCAGCAGCAGCTGCACCAGCTGCGCATGTACCACGCGGCGGGGATGCCCGCGTGCGCCCACGCGCCAGGGCACCGGCCGCTGTCGCGAGCGCAGTCGTCCCCGGCCTCGGCCACCTTCCCCTTGCCGGCGCCGCCGCCCGAAGCGCCCGTCAAGCACCGCTTCACGACCGGTGTGTCCGTGCGTGCGTCCTTGCGGCCAGCGAGTCCCTGCGTGCGTCCGTGCATACGGCCAGTCAGTCCAGGCGTACGTGTGCGTGTGTGCGCGCGTCGCACGGACCGTGTCGCTCCTTGCTCCCCCACGGTTGACGCCCTCTCCATGAGCTGCTGAATTGTTTCTCGACAACAAGGATCGGTCATATTTGGTAACTGAAGCTTTGAACTGTTTATAAACTGAACTACAAGTAAACTATTTTTTATTTTTACCAGTTAAGGCCCACTGAGCCATATAGCTATTTTTCAGAAGTGCCCTGGCCACAAATGATAGCTCAACAATGTGGCTTATCGCGTGGAAATATACAGCAGCCAAATACTGTAAGCGCACGTTGTTGATTCTTAATGTGGAGAGAAAGACCGGAGGACCCGGGGAAAAATGCACGCGGCCACGGAGGGAACATGCAGACTCCAAACGTACAGGCGTCGGGCTCAAAATCGAATGCACGACCTCCTGCATACCGGGCGACGGAGTTAACATCTCGCCACCGTGGTGCCCCCACCCCCGTCTCGGCCTAACTGAGCGAGTGCCTCCGTCCTCGCCGGCTCCAGCCGCCACGGCTCTCTAACCGGTGGCGGCGGCGGCGGTGGTGGTGCATTCCCCACCCCCCCCCCCCCCCACCTTCTACCCCCCCCCGTTGCTCGCGCCAGGCCTGGTGTACGACACGCTCATGCAGAAGCACCAGTGCACGTGCGGCAACAACACCAACCACCCCGAACACGCCGGGCGCATCCAGAGCATCTGGTCACGCCTGCAGGAGACCGGCCTCGCCAACAAGTGCGAGGTGAGCGCTCGCGCGTGCGCCTGTCGCTCGGCCGGTTTGCCGTGGTGCAGGCGTCGCTCGCGGGGGGTTTCTCGTGACCGGGTGTTGTTCCCAGTGGTTGCTTTGCGACGTCACGGCCGACGGAAATTGAGAGAGCGCATTGTGCTTAAAAAAAAAAACGAAGACCGGCATCTGGCATGAATTTATTCCGAACATTATTACAAAACCGACTGGGCGCAATCGCCGCCCGCTGCTTGCCGCCAGTAGATCTAGCAAATCCAGCTAGCCCCATGCTACAAAGCACCATCGAGGGGGTCTGGCACTATAAGGGCACTGACCGCCACGGGCGTTGACTGCCGCTGGCGCCGACTGCTGCCGCTGCCGGCGTTGATCACCACTGGCATTGACCGGCGCCGCTGCTGACGTTGACGGCCGCTGCCGGCGCCGACCGCCGCCGGCGCTGACCGCCACTGCCGGCACTGCCCGCCGCTGGTGCTGACCGCCGCTGCCGGCGCCGACTGCTGCCACTGACCGCCGCGGGTGCCGTTTCAGCGCGTGAGGCCCCGCAAGGCGACGCCTGAAGAGATCCGCACGGTCCACTCGGAGCAGCACGCGCTCCTCTACGGCACCAGCCTCTTCAACCCCCCCAAGATCGAGCCCAAGAAGATGCACGGTACCCATAAACTAAAACTGTTAAAACATATATTTTACCATGGCCCACTAAGCTACGTAGTAGCTCTTTTTCAGAAGCGACCTGGCCATCACAAATGATAGCGCAACTAAGTTGCTTATCGTCGCGTTGAAATTGATTGCAGCCATTGACTCTAAACGCACGTGTTGGTTCTAAACGCGGAGGCAGAATCCTGGGGAAAAAACCTACGTGGCCACGGCGAGAGAGACACGCAAACGCCAAATATACAGCAGCAGACGTCAGGGTCGCGATCGAACCCACGACCTCCTGTAGACCGGGCGAGATAGTTAACATTTCCTAGCCACCGCAGCGCCCTGCCGTAGCTCCTCTCCCCGCGCACTCTCACCGCACGCACCGCGTCCATCCATCGGCTAAGATCGATTCTTTCGCGCACTTTGTTTTCCCACAACCGTGTGCACGGGAAGCGGTTATTCTCAATAACCCCCTTAACTGCCGCCAGGGGCCGCTACATTAACACGCGAGAGCATTGGGAAAAAGATTGAATCTCAATTGAAACGCAACCTCGATTTGTGGCAGTCGAATTGCGAGGGCTGCCAAGTATTTAGAGCCCTAGTTTGGATGTGTGGTTGAACCTATTTTGCATCGTACATCGCCAACCTTGCTAATCAGATATACGGGGGAAGGATACCAGAATATCCAGAGGCAACCCCTGCAGAACAGGGGGGGGGAGAACTCCACACGGCAAGGGGCAACTGAGTCGGGAATCGAACTCCGGGGCCTTCTCGCTGCAAGGCCACGGAGCCACCCTGCCGCCCGAATTAATTCCTCTTCCCCTTATAGTCTCCTGTTGTGTTCACAACAATAATGACAACAGCAAAGCCGCCATTCGCCACCAAGTGGCGGTGTCGTCACCACGGTGCTCATGCCAGGCCAGATGCACTTTGAGGCATATTGACGGGACAGTCCCGCCGTGTCACGGGTTGGACTGCCCGCTCTCCGATCTCTGCTCTTCGTCCGGCAGACCTCCACGCAGACTCGCTGACCGTATTTTCCGCTGCTTTATGCCGTGCAGGATCCCTGCCTCAGAAGGTCCTTGTGATGCTGCCGTGCGGCGGCCTGGGGGTGAGTACCGCTCATGGGCACCGCACACCACCGCTTGCCACACCACCGCTTGCCACACCACCGCGTGCCACACCACCGCGTGCCACACCACCGCGTGCCACACACCGCGTACTTCGCCCCCTGGGGGGGGGGTTCGCCTGGTTTCCAGGAGGTCGTGGGTTCCATCCCGAACCCGACACTGCCTGTTGTATATTTGGAGTTTGTGTGTTCTCTCTCTCTCATCTCGAGGTCGCGTGGATTTATCTCGGGGTCCTCCGGTTTTTCCCTCCACATTTAGAATCGACATCACGCGTTCAGAGTTTGATGGCTGCTGTAAATGTCCTCGTGAAGATGACAAGCCGCTTCGTTGAGCTCTCGTTTGCGGCCAGGTCGCTTCTGAAAAAGAGCTACATGGCTCAGTGGGCCCTACCTGGTCGAATAAAAAAAACGTTTTGTAAACGGTTTAGTACACGCTGCGTCCTTTTATATTCGGAGGCAAAGGTGAAAGCGCAGCCCTGAGAAACGCTCCACTCACGCCGCTATCTGTTGGCAGAAGAGGCTCCACTGGAGGGAGCTCCAGTCAAGCATGAGGCCAGCAATTTTTTTTCTGGCGGCCACGGAAATTCCACATTCCCATGGCGAAGGCTGTCTTCTCTCCACGGCGATTGTTGAAATAACCTCTCCTGAAATGTTACTCATTCTATATTCTTGGTTCTTTCGGTAAAGTCACGTAGAAGGGAAACAAAATAATAAAAATGTAAAACAATAAAATTCTCACGACGTTTCGACTGCAACACAAGCAATCGTCATCAGGTGTGAAAACCTGATGATGATTGCTTGTGTTGCAGGTGTGAAAACCTGATGATGATTGCTTGTGTTGCAGTTGAAACGTCGTGAGAATTTTATTGTTTTATATTTTTATTATTTTATTGTTTCCCTTCTACGTGACTTTACCGAGAGAACCACGAATATTAATCCCTGCAGTCACGAAAGCTTTAAATCAAAATTTAGGTACTCATTCTATCGATCCCAGAGGGGATGATGAGCGGATGGAGTGGAAGCTCGTGTGGAACCGGGCGGGGATCCCGTTAATGTGAACAGCTGTTTTGCAAGCGAGCTTTGAGATTTTTCGAACCCAAAAAAAACCAAACTAAAATGTCACCTGGGATCGGATTTCCCACGAGCGGCAAGATGGCCGTCTCTCGCTGCTCTCCGCTGGGGCCCGCCGTCGTTGTGAATCGTCAGCGCGGCCGGGACGGACGCACGGACGGACTCGCGCACGAACGGGCGGATGGACGCACAGACGGACACACGGACGGGCGTGGGGTTGACCTTGCGGGCGTGGCTGTGGCTGTGCCAGGTGGACAGCGACACCATCTGGAACGAGCTACACTCGTCGGGCGCGGCACGCATGGCGGCCGGCTGCGTCACCGAGCTGGCGTACAAGGTGGCGGCCAGGGAGCTCAAGGTGCCAGCGAGCATCGCCTGTGTCTCTTTGTGTGTGTGTGTGTCAGGGTGTGTGTTACACTGTCAGGGTGAGTCTCTTTGTGTGTGTGTGTGTGTCAGGGTGTGTGTTACACTGTCAGGGTGAGTCTCTTTGTGTGTTATACTGTCAGGGTGTGTGTTACACTGTCAGGGTGAGTCTCTTTGTGTGTGTGTGTGTGTTATACTGTCAGGGTGTGTGTTACACTGTCAGGGTGAGTCTCTGTGTGTGTGTTACACTGTCAGGGTGAGTCTCTTTCTGTGTGTGTGTTATACTGTCAGGGTGTGTGTTATACTGTCAGGGTGTGTGTTACACTGTCAGGGTGAGTATCTTTGTGTGTGTGTGTTATACTGTCAGGGTGTGTGTTACACTGTCAGGGTGAGTCTCTTTGTGTGTATGTGTTATACTGTCAGGGTATGTGTTACACTGTCAGAGTGAGTCTCTTTGTGTGTGTGTGTTATACTGTCAGGGTGAGTCTCTTTGTGTGTGTTATACTGTCAGGGTGTGTGTTACACTGTCAGGGTGAGTCTCTTTGTGTGTGTGTGTTATACTGTCAGGGTGTGTGTTACACTGTCAGGGTGAGTCTCTTTGTGTGTATGTGTTATACTGTCAGGGTATGTGTTACACTGTCAGAGTGAGTCTCTTTGTGTGTGTGTGTTATACTGTCAGGGTGAGTCTCTTTGTGTGTGTTATACTGTCAGGGTGTGTGTTACACTGTCAGGGTGAGTCTCTTTGTGTGTGTGTGTTATACTGTCAGGGTGAGTCTCTTTGTGTGTGTGTTATACTGTCAGGGTGTGTGTTACACTGTCAGGGTGAGTCTCTTTGTGTGTGTGTGTGTTACACTGTCAGAGTGAGTCTTTGTGTGTGTGTGTGTTATACTGTCAGGGTGTGTGTGTTACACTGTCAGAGTGAGTCTTTGTGTGTGTGTGTGTGTTATACTGTCAGGGTGTGTGTGTTACACTGTCAGAGTGAGTCTTTGTGTGTGTGTGTGTTATACTGTCAGGGTGTGTGTGTTATACTGCCAGGGTGAGTCTCTTTGTGTGTGTGTGTGTTATACTGTCAGGGTGTGTGTGTTACACTGTCAGAGTGAGTCTTTGTGTGTGTGTGTGTTATACTGTCAGGGTGTGTGTGTTACACTGTCAGAGTGAGTCTTTGTGTGTGTGTGTGTTATACTGTCAGGGTGTGTGTGTTATACTGCCAGGGTGAGTCTCTTTGTGTGTGTGTGTTACACTGTGGGGAGCGGTAGTGTAGCGGTTAGCGCTACGCTGCGCTACAAACCAGGCGACCTAGGTTCGATTCCTGCTCACGGCCAACACCAGTGACGATTATCTGAACCGGTCCTGGGCCTCCCCTAGGTCGACTCAGCATCAAATGAGTACCTTGTGCGGTGTGTAAACATCGCCACTGGGGATACAAAGGCGGTCGGGCGTAGTGCTGGTCACCCACCCGCTCGTGTACCGTTCCATCCTTCATAGGTGCTCGCTTACAGCACTTGCCCCTCCAGTCTGTTAAGGCTATATGGGGGATCTTTGTCTTTGTTACACTGTCAGAGTTTGTGTGTCTGTGTGTGTTACGCTGTCTGGGTGTGCGTGTTACACTGTCAGGGGGTGTGTATGCGTGTGAGTGTTTTGCACTGTCAGAGTGTGTGTGTGTGTGCGTGTGTTACACTCTCAGGGTGTGTGTGCGTTACACTGTCAGAGTGTATGTGTTCCACTGTCAGGGTGTGTGTGTGTGCATGTGCGTGCGTGTGCGTGTATGTTACACTCTCAGGGTGTGTGTGCATTACACTGTCAGAGTGTGTGTGTGTTCCACTGTCAGGGTGTGTGTGTGTGTGCGTGCGTGTGCGTGTGTGTTACACTCTCAGGGTGTGTGTGCGTTACACTGTCAGTGTGTGTGTTACACTATATCTGTGTGTGTGTGTGCCGTGCCGGCCTTCATAAGTGCTACTCGCTAACAGCATTTGCCCCAACAGTCTATCAAGGCTATACAGGGGATCTTTGTGTTTGTGTTACACTATCAGTGGCTGTGTGTTCACACTGCCAGTAGGTGTCTGTCGTTTCCTCCGACGTGCAAAACTACTGAGAAATTGGCCATAGAACCCAGAACCGAGCAGGCGTTGCGGCCTCACAAACCTCTTGCCCCCCCCCCATCTTTCACTCGCCCGCTCGCTAACTCTCTCTCTCTCTGTGCGTGCGAGTCCGCGTGGAGATCTGCACGTTTTGAGTGTGGCGACATTCAACGTTTCAAAGCGCAGTTCGTGCGTTTGTCGCCGCCCCCGTGCTCCGCGTAGTTCTAATCGGTTGCTGCTGCTGCTGCGTTCGTTGTCGTCATCATCGTTGTCATTTGTTGTTTTTCTTTTTTTTAGAATGGGTTCGCGGTGGTGAGGCCTCCCGGGCACCATGCCGAGGAGTCGATCGCCATGTAATTATCACGCCCCCTCGCCGACACTCGCGCCCGCGTTTTGCCCGCCCCACGTACCAGAGGGAAGGACAGCGGGGGGGGGGGCGGGGGGGGGGGTTGCGCCCTCGTGTTGTGCGGCAAATAATAATAACAAGACCGACAGACCGGTTCTCTTGCGCATCACTTCGACGGCGAAGAATCCGTCGGACAAAGAGGGTTCGCCGCGTCGCGCGGCGCTTTCGGAAGCGCTTCCGCGGCCGTCTGGAACCGCTCTTCTTACCGCTGTTAGGAAGCCACTGGGGACTATGCACTTTTAAATCATCTCGATTGAAAACACATTTCCGGAGAACTGCTTTTGGTGTTTCGTTTGTTGTCCTTCCTCCGCACCTTCGATTAGCGTTGTATTGGCTACGTACGGTGCGAAAGAGATTCGAGCGTACGTACATCGGACGGTAGAATAGGTCTGGGCTGTCACGTGACCTGCAAGGGATGATGGGAGGCGGCGACCCTGTGTTCAGAGCCGTGCCTTTTGCCGTCTCGTTGGTCATCGTTTAGTTTTCGTTGTTGAACCAGGTGAGAACTCAAGAGACCAGGGGAGAGTCTCGTCTGCAAGGGTGAGCTGGGGCGTTAGTCTGCTGCCAGTAGGGGGCTATGATTGTTGCTGTGGGAGTAGTGTAACACGTAGTATAGGCTTTTGCGACCAATATTATGCACAATGACGGGGATTTTTTTGGGGTTAAATTGAGTGAAGATATAAATGTGTCGTGAAGCCCTCCACCGCCTGACACAGCCAAGTAGTAATCGCAAATGTTGTGGGTTTACTCTCCAACACACCGGTGTGCTGAAGTCGTTTTGTTTACGTGACAAACTTTTACTAGTTGGCTGTCGGGTGGTGATGGTGACGGGTTTAACGACGTGTTCATATTCAAACGATCTCACCCGAAGAAAAAGTCATCTTTTCACGTGCGAGAAATTTTACGACATCGTGTTCGAATTTTGCAAAAAAAAATTCGACCCTGACACCGGCACACATCGGCCTGCTCTTGCGAGTGACGTCAGGGGGATCTTGAACAGCCACTGCTAGCGAGGCTGACGGCGCGCAGTCGTAGTAGCGGGACCAGTAAGATTATCATCACGGTCAATGCACACCGCCGCGTTATTAATCAGGGCGGCCGTTGGATTCGAACCACTAGCCCCCACAATAAGCCATGTCAACAGCCCAGAAATCACCTTCCGTGTGTACAATTATTAAAAGCCGGGTTATTACTTTACGTATTGAGAAAAGATGGCGATTATTATTATTATTGATAGTTGGAGGCCACGATTGCGGTGGTGGCGACGTTTAGATTGCTTAGATTATTTGGCGGCTGCTATAAATTTTCACGTGATAAGCTACTTCGTTGAGCTGTCGTTTGTGTTAGCCAGGTCGCGGCCGAAAAATAAGCTGATGGCTCTGTGGGCGTTACCTGGTGAAAATAAGATAACTAAATTTTCGTTATTTACTTACCTGTCCTATACTTTGCACTCCTTTCGTATTTTTCGTATTGTTCGTTGTCGTAACATTCTCATCCCGTGGCCCCCGGCTGGACATCTGTGATAAAATATCCTTGACAGCCCACCGCGGATTCCCTCCTGCTGTCTGGACGGCCGTTTCCGATTCTGAGCGACGCGCGCTGCCTGTTTTGTCCTCCGCAGGGGATTCTGTTTCTTCAACTCGGTGGCGATCGCTGCCCGCGTGCTGCAGCAGAAGCTCAACGTGAAGAGGGTGCTCATCGTCGACTGGGTGAGTCCAGCAACCGGCCGCTGCAGCTCGCAAAGAGAATGGTTCCCCCCCCATCCCCACCCCCGTGGGTAGCCTGCGACGGATTGTTGGGGCGAAGTGACCGTTAGCGAGCGGTGCCTATGAAGGCCGGCACGGCACACGCGAAGGGTGGAGGCGGGGTGGCCAACACCACGCTCAGTTGCTGAGCCGACCTGAAGGATGCCCAGGGTTGGTTTAACTAATCATCGCTGGTGCTGTCCGTGAGCGGGAATCAAACTCACGGTGCGCTAACCACTGCGCCACCGCTCCCGCGCACAGATCCAGCATGGGCCATTCCGGCTCACTCACTCACTGACACGCACACAGCCATGCACGCTCACTGGCACACAGGCATGCATACTCACACATACACATAAAGATCCCCGCATAACCAGGCCTTAGTTTCAGCCGGTTTTGTCCGGTTCGGCATTCCCGGAAAAATATTTACACACCCCTCCACACCACATCCGGTTTACCTCTCTTTATAGCTGCAAGCTGCGAAGTCACGTGCCTGTTCAAGCCTACCAGCAACCTAGACGCTATTCGATGAGCATAAAAGCCGTGCTTTTTATAACCTCATCGACTGGTCGGTCCAAGTGCCGTCCGCGGGTCACCTTTCCCGCACTTCACCGATTGCCGGCAACCGACGTCGTCCCGAGTTCTCCCCGTCGCGGGCTGCCACCCGTGCACCCCGAACTCCCGAACTCTGCCGAGCGAGCACCTTGCGGGTCAAAACCCTGTGGCCCGCCCAGCGTAGGACACTCCCCCCTCCTCCAGGCAGACTCTTAACACGCAAAAATAAGCCGCGCCAACCCTCGTCTGCGGACGGACGCCGTCGGCGGTTCGCCGGGTCGGCCGCGAACGGGGCACCCGGAAAGCGGACGGGGCGGCCGAGGGGAGTGACGCTCACCGCCGTTTTGCGCCCGCAGGACGTCCATCACGGAAACGGAACGCAGCAAGCGTTTTACAGCGATCCCAGCGTCCTCTACGTCTCCCTGCATCGGCACGACGATGGCAACTTCTTCCCCGGCAGCGGAGCCGCTGACGAGGTGCGAAGGCTCTCCACCGCGCTTCGCTATCACTCGTCAACGCCCGCCCGCTTTGGCGTTCAAAACACTCGCCACTGATGTTCTCAAAACACTCGCCACTGACGTTTAAAACATTCACCACTGATGTTTAAAGCAATCGTTACTGACGATTAAAACACTCACCACTGACGTTTAAAACATTCACCACTGATGTTTAAAACAATCATTACTGACGATTAAACACTCGCCACTGACGATTAAAACACTCACCACTGACGATTAAAACACTCATCACTGACGATTAAAACACTCATCACTGACGATTAAAACACTCACCACTGACGTTTATTAAAATACTCATCCACTGACGATTAAAACACTCACCGCTGACGTTTAACACACTCATCACTGATGATTAAAACACTAACTGCTGAAGTTTAAAACACTAATCACTGACGGTTAAAAAACTCACCCACTGACGTTTAAAACACTCATCACTGACGTTTAGAACACTCACCCCATGAGGGAAGACCACAGCATGTTGAGTAAAAACTATAAAAAAAAACTCAACACAGTCATCATAAACATAGCCCCAAGAGGCAATGGCCCTTCTCTATAGTACACAAATTGAGAGGTCAGAGAGTTACTGTGGATAATAAGAGTTGCTATTTGTGCCCGTACACACGCCACCAATGCAGTTATTCCCAAGTAATTAAGTATCATCGTCGTCGTTAAGATCATCACCACCACCGCCACCACCGTTACCGCCACCACCGCTCTCACCGCCGCCACCACCGTTACCGCTACCACCACCACTAGCACCACGAACCACTACCGCTTGCCGACGTCTCTGACCACCTCGCGGGCGTGCCCGTACGCAGGTGGGCGTTGGCGCGGGCGAGGGCTTCAACGTGAACATCGCGTGGACGGGCGGCCTCAACCCTCCCATGGGGGACGCCGATTACCTAGCGGCGTTCAGGTAGCGCTCGCCCCGCAGCGGCCGTCTCGGGCACCGCCCCCTGCCCCCGCACCGCCCCCATACGGCAACGACTCACGGCGCTCGCGGCGGTCAGCACACCCGGTTTGATGATCGGACGGTGGTTAAACTAAAACTTTTATTTTACCAAGTAAGGCCTACTGAGCAATGTACTGTGTAGCTCGTGTTCAGAAGCGACCTGGGCACAAATGGTAGCCCAACGAAGTGGCTTAACGTCATGTGGAAATGTACAGCAGCCAAATATCCTTGGTTCTTTCGGTAAAGTCACGTAGAAGGGAAACAATAAAATAATAAAAATGTAAAACAATAGAATTCTCACTACGTTTCGACTGCAACACAAGCAATCATCATCAGGTGATTTTATTCTTTTATATTTTTTTTATTATTTTATTGTTTCCCTTCTACGTGAATTTACCGAAAGAACCAAGAATATGAATCCCTGCAGTCACGAAAGCTTTAAAGCAGCCAAATACTCTAAACGCGTGACGTTGATTCTAAACGTGGAGGGAAAACCTGGAGGACCCGGGAAAAAATCCACGCGACCGCAGGGAGAGAGAGAGAGAGATAGACGCAAACTCCAAATGTACAGCAGCAGGCGTCAGGGTCGGGATCGAACCCACGACCTCCAGCACCACGATGTAAGTTGTTGTTGAACGGCTGAATCTGGCTGTGGCCCCCTAAGCGTGGCTCATTGTTTGCCTGCCGCGACGTGTGCTGCGGCCCCCCCCCCCCCCCGCCTCCCCCCCCCAGGTTGCTCGTCATGCCCATCGCGAACGAGTTCTCCCCGGACGTGGTGCTCGTGTCCGCCGGCTTCGACGCCGTCGAGGGCCACCCAGCGCCGCTCGGCGGGTACAACGTCACCGCCAAATGTACGTGCCACGCCCGCATACGCGACGCCTGCCGTTGGCGCGGTCCGTCGCGTTACTTGTCGCGTCGCTTGGCGTGGTGATTGTTTTTTGTCGGTGATCGACAAGCAGCTGCAGCAGCAGCAACAGCACTATCATCATAAGCATCAGTTGCAGCAGCCAATATCAGACGACGTAGAAGCAGCAGCAGCAGCAGGGACATCTTTGTAACTTGAAACAACAGTAGTGTCGTTATCGGGAACAGCAGCAGCAGCAATATCAGCAGCAATTTAATCATCATCATCATCATCAGTTGTGGCAGCCAACATCAGACGACATAGAATCCTCAGCAACAGCAGCAGGGACATCGTTATCATTTAAAACAACAGTAGAATCGTCATCGACAGCAGCAGCAGCAGAAGCAATATCAGCAGTAGCAACGATGGCAACAGCCAGATCGCCTTCGTCGTAAACACCGGCTGGAGCAGCGATGGCACTCTCGTCTGGGGTCGTCATCACCCGCTCTGATCAATGCCGCCCCAATCGGTGCTCATCGACACCATTGCCGTAGTCGTCGCCAATGGCGTTGAGGTTCGGCGTCGCCACCGCGTGGCGGCGATGTCACCACCACGCGCCGCCCACTGGAGCCAGCGGAGGGGGGGAGGGTCGACCTCGTAGAGCGGTGTTCTTCGTTGCCAGGCCCGCGGGCCACTGGCGGCCCCTGGTGGCCTTTCGTGCGGCCCTCTCACGTGCACTCCCCCACCCCTCCGACAATACCCCAAAAACACCCCCCGTCATCGTCGGGCTGCTGTCAAATCCCCATTCGTGTCAAATGCGTGGCGACCCTTCTCCTATCGGCGAAAGTGTCCCCGGCACCAACCCCCACCCCTCTGAAAATGAGTGAAGGACACTGCCGGAGACGCCCGGTAGATGCAGCAAGAGGGAACGTCTCCCTCCCGCCCATCTCACCACTCCGCCGCTCTCTCCGCGCCCACCCACCCACCCACTCCTCACCCCCCGCCGCCCACCCCCTCCTCCAGGCTTCGGCTATCTGACGCAGCAGCTGATGACGCTGGCGGGCGGCCGCGTGGTGCTGTCACTGGAGGGGGGGCACGACCTCACGGCGATCTGCGACGCGTCCGAGGCCTGCGTCTACAGCCTGCTGGGCAGCGAGGTGGGCAGGCGTCGTAACTTCCCCGCCACTTTGGGTGGGGGGGGTGCGGCTCACCCTCGCCCTTATTCATTCACATCCGACCACCGTTGGAACGGTGTTGATCACAGCGGGTGACTATGACCACGCTGCTGCACGGTGGTCTACGTACGGTGCGAAGGAAGTTTAACGTAGTGCCTGCTCGAGCTCACGCTGGCGCTAGTGGCCTCTCCGCTGTTTACTTTCGTTTATCCTAGTTCTCGGTCGTGTGTTTCTGATGTACGTATGTCGAACTTACAATTCGCACACACCGTACGTAGCCAGGCGTGCTAAGCGGAGGTGCGGATGTGAAGTAAGCGTCCGTGCCGGTGCGCGCGTGGAACAGATGGAGCCTCTGTCCCAGGAGGTCGTTCAGAAGAGACCGAACCCAAACGCCGTGGCGTCGCTCGAACGCGTCATCCAGATTCAGAGTGAGTGCACCCAGCCACACTCCCCCTGCACGCACAAAGACAAAGATCCCCCGTGTAGCCTTAACAGACTGTAGGGGCAAGTGCTGTTAGCGAGCAGCGCTTATGAATGCCGGCACGGCACACGAGGGGGTGGGTGGCCAGCACCACGCCCGGCCGCCTTTGTCTCCCCAGTGGCGATGTTTACACATCGCACCAGGTACTCACTTGAGGTTGAGTCGACCTAGAGGAGGCCCAGGACCGTTTCAGATAATCGTCACTGGTGTTGGCCGTGAGCGGGAATCGAACCCGGGTCGGCGGGTTCGTAGCGCAGTGCGCTCACCGCTACTCGGCTGCACTTCCGCTCCCCACCTGCGTCCATACACACGCACACACCAATACACACGCACACACCAACGCACGCACCAATACACACGCACACACCAGTACACACGCACGCACCAACGCACGCACCAATACACACGCACACACCAATACACACGCACACACCAATACACACACACCAATACACACGCACACACCCGCCCCCACACATTACCCCTAGACGCACCTAGACCAGGCCACCACCAGGAGTTGCTCCTCGGGACCCAGGTCGCCCACCACTGCTCTGCAGCCACCGGCTTATTATCGCCCTGGTGGCGGTGGCGAGCACCTCACGCACGTCCCAATGCCTCCGCGTCTTGACTGATCCACCAACCCCCCACCCCTAACCTCCCCGTGTGAATTTTGTAATGGACACAGCGCGCACACCTGGCTAACACCCCGGCTCGAGCCAGCGCTTCCTCCAAGGGCCCCTCTGGCCACGCTGACACAGTCTCCTCCGTGTTGTGTGTGCGCGTGCGTCTGTGTGTGTCTGTGTGTGTGTGTCTGTGTGTGTGTCTGTGTGTGTGTGTCTGTGCGTGCGTCTGTGTGTGTGTGTGTCTGTGCGTGCATGTGTCTGCGTGCATCTGTACATGCGTCTGGGCGTGCGTGCGTGCGTCTGTGCGCTGCGTGCACACAGGCAAGTACTGGCGCTGCCTGCAGAGGCTGGCGCCCACGGTGGGGTTGTCGTTGCTGGAGGCGCAGAAGCACGAGAAGGAGGAGACGGAGACGGTGACCGCCATGGCCTCTCTCTCCGTGGACGCCACGCAGGCGGCCGCCGACACCGCCGCCGCCGACGACAAGAGGTGAGCAGTCCTTCCGTTCGTGTTCCAGACGTGCGGTGATGGCGGCGGCGGCGCGCGCGGTGGGGTAAAAAACGTGGGTGACGCGAGAGCCTCTTTCAAGACGTCCGATCGGCGTGGAAGAGTAGACCAAATACCCTGTAGAGCCCCCTCTAGTGGGGCGGCCCTTACGCCAGCGCTGGGCAGATACCACGGTGATATTCTCAAAACGCCGGACGTTTTGGCCTGCGTGGTGGTCCCAATGTTTGTTTGCGGTTGGCAGTTGGACGCCTGGTCCAGAGGAAGCTTGACAGCCGTAGATCGGTGGCTCTCAAACCCATATTTTTGTCTCCTGTAACACCCCCGTTGTTGAATTTAGTTTCCACTGAGTTTACCCCCCCCCCCACCACACCGTGATCTGACCCATCGTGGTTCTGAGAAATACATGCATGAATAATGAATGTCAATATATTAACCTAGGTGCTAACTGCAAGCGAATAAAAAAAAAATTTCAACGGACGCTCTGCACTCGTGACGTCATTTGTTCGCGCTCGCTGCTTACTCTGGGAAACCCTGGGGTTACCATATGCATTCAAATTTTACCGTAGTTATTTAACATTGGCAGATTCATACAACGTGATCATTCACCAATGACTCTCGCGCATGATATAACGTCACGCATTTATAAATCGTCTGACGTGTACCCCCTTGGGGCATTGCCACGTAACCCCCCCCCTCATGGGGGTCCACGTAGCCCCCCCAGCTCCCCCACCCCCCGCTTAAGAACCACGGCCGCAGAAGGACGAGCGTCGGCGCCACAATCAACGACGCGCAACGTCGTCGTCGAGAATCGCTCTCCTCTCGCGATTCCCAACGCTCTCTCGCGCGATTCTCACCCCTTCTCTCGTGATTCCCACCCTCTCCTCTCGCGTGTGTCCTCCTCCTCTAGGCCGGTGGAGGAGCCCATGGAAGAGGAGTCGGCGGCGATGTAAGCGATGGACCCCGGTGCGTTTGGATTGTGGCCGGCACGGCTCGCTCCACAGAGCGTTTGGCAGCGCCATCCCAACCCTCCCCGCCACTCCTCCCCACCCCCTGCTGACGGGAGGGGTCAGGCGATCTTCGGAAACGATGGGCGGGGGGGGGGGGCTGGGGAGATGACCCGGAGACTCGAAACGGCGTGCGTGCGTGCGTGCGCCCGGCCACAGTCGCTCCGTGTGTGTCCGTACGATGGCGCGGCCGCGTGACGCTGGCGATTCGGCGAGTTTGAAAACTCCGCGGGCGCGACGTAATTATCCCCCCCCCCCCCGGTCGCTCGTGTCTTAGAACCAGTCCGTTGCTCTCTGTTCCTTTCCTCTTATTGAGAATTTTGTTGATTTTTTTTTACACGCCTTCATATTTTTCGTTGTATAGGGTTTCCTTAATAGGCCGCTTTCTTGAGCTTAAGGGAAGAGTATGAGTTGTGCGCGGCAAAACGACCGAGACACTTTTTTTTTTCCATACTGTATAAAATCGAGTTTGTTCCTTTTTTTAAAGTTGTTGTTGTTGTTTTTGTTGGGGGGGCGGGGGCGGGGCGGGTCGTGGGGGTCTCGGGGGGTACCGGGGGGGTCGGGCGCGGGGGGCGGTCTAAGAGCGACGGTAGGAAGCGGTCGTGCGCGGGAATTATCTCGGGGCGACATCGTCGTCCGGTCGATGCGCTCTCGCGGCGTGGGAGTGAAACTTCCGAGGAGTGCCTTTATTTGAGACGGGAATGTCTGCGTTTGTCACTGCCTCGCTGAACGCCGTTTTAAAATGCGTCGTCTTGGACAGAGGACACGCCGCATCCTCTCCGCTTTTCCCTTCCACGTCGTCGCCGTCGTTAACGTGTGTTACTTTTTGAATTCCTTTAACGCTCCAGAATCACCAGCAATTGTTCTTATTCTGTTCCAAAGTAGGCTTTTGTAAGAATTACACAATGCAAGGTATGTTTGTTTAAAGTAGATTGTGTTCTCTGTGTATTCCTCATCTTAGCAGGATTAAGCTTGGGTAACGGTGATCTTTTTTTTTAAGGAGTTATTTTTTTTATTACTTTCTTTTGCAGGTCCTACTTGCCTGGGTATTTGGTATTAACATTTAACAGTTTCACTCTTTTTGTATACTACTTATATTTGCTCTATTTATTCCTTTCGATTTTAAGAAATAAACACCGTACTTCAGAGTATTTGACCTTCCTTGCAAAAATGTTTATCTTGCTGAAAAAGGGAGAGACATAAAAAAACAATGACATTTTGTTTTAAACGTATATGCGTTGAATGACCAAGAAAATATCGCTGATAGCTGTATACCATGTTGATACCTTAGTGGGTAAGTTTTACAAAGAAACCGAGTTGTCTTTTCCCGCTGGTTTCTGGCTCGGAGCCCTCGTGTTCTCGCTGTTGTAAATTTCTTTCTTAAGTAGTTCACAACGTTTTAAATCCCGGCTCACGGACACGTGTATTGGTGTGTACGTACGTGTGTCGCTTCGCACCGTACGTAGCCAACCGTGCTCATCGGAGGTGTATATAACAGGGCAGCGGTGGCGTGGCGATTGATCGTCGCGTGGCAACCGAAGCATCGGTGAGGATCGGTATCTGAACTTCACCCGGTCGTGCCCCTAGGTCAGCTGGGCCTAAAACGACCACCGTTTGTGATGGTGGTGATGGTGGTTACGGTTATCGGCAGCAGCAATGGGGGGAACGAAAGTGGCCGGGGTTGTGTGTGGCCCTCTCCCTGGACACAACAACCCCTTCACGTGTGCCGTTCCGGCCTCAATGTGCTCACCGCGACCACCAACTCTTAGCCCTGGCGTCTGTAATAAGGATAACCAGGATTTTCTTTTTTACATATATATTTATGTATATACATGCATATTCATATAGAGCACACGTTATTGCTGGATGTGTCGGTGGTGTCGTGGGCTTTCATTAATACGCTTTGAGGTTTATCTACGTTACGTGTATGTACGTCACAGTGGCATCTGAATTCCAAATCCACAGTTTAGATTCAATTCTCACAACTTGTGTTCCTCCCGGCCATTCCTGAAGGCCGCGCACAAAAAGCCCCTCTCTCTTGTAAAATAAGGTCCTTTCGTTAAATTGTTTTTATTTTCACACGATAGTAGCAGGAATCTACGACACCCGATCCCGTTCATTTACCGGTGCCTCTGCGGAAGCGTGCGCCCCACGAGCCTCACGGGAAACGCACGCACACACGCGCACGTGCGCACACACGCGCACATTCACCCACACGCATGCACGCCGCTCAGCGCGTGTCGCTAGCATAGACCGCGAGTCGGGCCGAAAGCGCGGGTTCACAGTCGGAACCTTTATTTATACTGGAGAAATCTGATGAGCTGCAGAGCTCTTTGTCACAGATGTCCAGTACAGTTACGTAAACGCGCAGAACGGCAATCGACCACGCCCGTGGCGCCAAACCCTCTGCCGCGGTCGGCACGGCGACCGCCTCCGTCCTCCATCTACCTTCTGTCAAATCCTTTTTTGCAAACGGTGAACGTCGAAGTTTGTGGCATTAACCAAAATTAGCGAGTCCTACTGTATTTCGTTTTGTGTCATTCAACACCGCACGGTTTAACAATCAAAAGGTTTCCTCGGCAAGAGGTGCCTTCTTAATGGGTGTTACGCGTGGGGGGAATCTAGATTTGAGAAGCGGTCACTTAAGTTTTCTAGATCTGAAAAAAAAAAATGTACTGCCCCCGTCACGATAAAAATCTTAACGATGCCACAGAACTCTTATTTTTCTTTTGTGTGCGTGTCGTACGGCTTTTCCGCATCGAGCTGCGATCTCGCGGTGTCGGACGGAGTACAGCGATCGGACGTGAGAGGGGGAACGGGCGATCGTTGGGGAAACGTTGTGATTTGTGGAGGTGGTTAGAAAAAAACATTTCTCACCGGTGTTTCCGATTGGGCGGCAAAAAAAACAAACCTGTTGTGCGTTTTTGGCAGCAGATGAGAGCCGTGTGTGCCGTGCCCAGCAAGTGGGGCATTGGAAGTCCCCCAACGGGGGGGTTTTCTAACCTACCCATGGACACGTTACTTTACGCTGAGAATGGATAGCGAAAGCGGCACGTTTGTTTTTCCTGTGTTCACTGATGACAGACTTAATTCTATAGGAAGCGGTCGTGGATATGAAACATATTGTTTTAAGAGGTATTTTTGAAAGAATATATATTTTGAAAGTTGATGATGATGATAATTAAAAAGAGGTTCTAATGTGTTGTGTAAAAAAATAACAAAAACAAAAAAAAAAAATCCTCGTTTCACAAATCTTTAACGGTGTCCAAATTCGAGCGTTACGTCACTTGATTACACTGTACTTATTGCAAACCGTGCCCGCGTCCCGCCGGGAATCATCCTCTCAGTCACAACCAAAAGACTCTTACATTCTGTGTGCGCTGAGCTGATGCTACAGGCTTGGGGTAATTTTAACTTGTTTCGTCTGTCCGATTAAAATGTTGGTGTTTTACCGTGTTTTCAAACTGTATCTCTTTTTTTTCTATCCCACAAGTTTGCTCGTTTTGTAAACTGTAAAACGACCCGATTGTTAACGATTAAAAATTTATTTTCAATGTAATTGTTTTGTCGACGTTCGTGTGCAACCGCGTTGGTAGTTTTGCCCCATTGCCTTGCGTAGGTTCTGACGGTCGTGGTGTCTACTTAAAAGAACCCCAACCGCGACCGGGTACACTTGAGCTGCCATCGTCTTGTTCGGTTGGTGGGATCGCGCACACGGGGAACAGTAGGGGAGGTTGTTGCAGAGCTCTCTCTATCTCCTTCTCCCTCTCTCTGCGGAGTCGGACGTGCGCACGTTGGCTGCGCTGGAATGTGTGTCGGAGGTGGCGTCCTTTAAAATGGGAAGTGATCCGTTACGAGGGCGACTCGGAATTGCCAGGCCTGGCAGTCGTCTCAACTCGGTGACATAGGCGCGCAGCGCTCTAAACTTGCGTTGCCTCATTTGAACAACGTTCGGGGAAGCGCGGGGGCGGCGGGGGCCGGGGAGCCTTGTGTTTTTGAATAACACATTTGCATTCTGACTGGCTTCTTTAAGAAGAAGAAGAAGAAAAAATCTGCATCGTTGGCTCAAAGCTTCTCATTTAAAGGACGCTGAAAAATCCGTCGTCAAACGTCACAATGTGATCTGGTGTGGACAATTTCACGGCGGATTAAAAACAAACGAAACCGTCTTTTCTCAAAGGTATAATTAAAATAGTTGCGAGTGCTGGCGCCGTGAATCCCGGACATGGGATGCCGAGGCGGCCGTTGGGGCTTCGCCCGCCAGCGCTGGATTTTAACAGAGGCCTATCCGAGATGGGGGGGGGAGGATCGGCGTTCGAAATCGCCGCGTGTACATAATTCCGCTTGCGTGTAAAGCAAATAGATTGTATGTTGAGAATCACATGACACGTTTCTGGGACGCTGTTCTCTTGCGTCGGTCCGTGCCCCGCTGCAGTGCCGAGGGCTGGTCGTCTCAACGTAATTCCCAACCGGATCATTTTATGCAATAATGCGCCCTGTACATAATGCACACATTCTATTTTGCTACACTCCTATCAAAGCTACGTCGAGGAATATTTTCTTTCTCCTTAAAAGTCGCGGAGACAGCCTCTCGATGTCCGTCGCGTCCGAGTTAAAGGTTCGCGTCCGCGTTTGCGTCCGTTTTCTGTTGCGCTTTGAAAATAAAACGAAACAAAAACAGAAAATCCGTCGGCAGGTAAAGTTCAAACTCGCTACCCGTGGCGCTCCATCCGTAAAACGTCTCCGCACGGCCTTCGCGCAAACACTCAAAAAGCCTTCGCGAAGCCCGACGCTGAGCGAGCTCTGCCAGAGTGCTTGTCAACAAAACCGTAGGTCTTGACTTAAAGCTTTCGTGACTGCAGGAATTCACATTCTTTGGGTCTTTCGGTAAATCCACGTAGATGGAGGAAAAAAATAATATAAATATCACGACGTTTCGATCGCAACACACAAGCAATCGTCATCGGGTGATGATTGCTTGTGTTGCGATCGAAACGTGATATCTTTTTAAAATTATTTTTTGTATCTACGTGGCTTTCCCAAACGACCCAAATAATATAAAAACGGGCGGGGTTTTTTTTTTCTCTCCCGGTCGGTGGGGATTCAATCTCACGTTTTCTCGCCGTTAGCTGCGTGCGACAAAGCGAAAGTTTTTGTCTCGTCCGCGATGTTCAGTGTGGAGCCCGAGATTGACGTACCCGGCGCGAGATTGACGTACCCGGCGGAAGGGTTTCCACCCCACGGCGTCTCTCGTTGCGTTCAGTGCCAGCGAAAGGGGGGGGGGGGCGTCGGGCCGATAAAGCTGCCGGCTCGTTTTGAGTCCATGTCCAGTTTTACAAATCCAGCCCAGCCTGTGTGGGGGTTGAGCTGCGGCGGCGTTTTGCTCGTTGTTAAACCCGTCGCGTTCGGACCGTTCTCTGCACTTCCAGGTCTGCCCTGTCCGTCCTTCTCTCTCCCAAGGAAGTGATGCGCGTCCCAACGTAATTTAAAGTTACGTGACCAGGCTATCG